ACATTCAGATAGTTGGGTCAGAATTTGGTCTAAACAACATGAAAACGTGTATATTTCCTGTCTTGAATCAGTGCTTCAGATGGTGTGATAGTGTGGGAAGATATTTTCTTGGAACATTTTAGGCTTCTTGGCACCAGCTGAGAATCATTTAAATGCCACAGCCTATCCTCACTATTGCGATACGGTCTGGGGGCTTTTTGCAGTGTTAGTTTGCTCTGTTTTGCCTGAGTTTCCTGTTCGATGCAGGGGGTTGCTGGACACCTGGCCATTGTTTTGCAGAGCTTTTGAGCCAGTCATAGCATATTGTTCCTAACCACGTCCACCCCTTTATGACCAAAGTTCATGTTCAGCTCAACTTCTGATGGCTGCATCCATCAGGATAATGCACCATGTCATAAAACTCAAACCATCTCAAACTAGAACACGAATCACTCATATTACATCTGCAGTCACCAGCTCTCCAGTAGAGCACCTTCAGGATGGATAAATAGAAGATTTGCAACAAATCTGCAGCAACTGGGCGATGCTATCTTGTCAATGTGGACCAAATTTTCATTTCCACAGTCTGCAACTTGGGTCCTGTTGACAGTGATATTCTCCTGCCTCCGTCCTAACAGAGCGGAGGCTGTTTAAGGAGCATATCTGTGCCAGAAATTTTTTTATAACTAAATATTTGACACCTATTCTAATGAATAGGAATTCTAATCTATCGTACATGGACAGCTGGAAGTTTGAATTTGACTCTTTAAATTTAGCTCAAAACAAAAGGAACTTTAAAGGTGGTTTATAAAGACGCTTTGCTGTGTTGCACAATTTTTGGATTCAGTGTAACCATTCGTTTTTTTTTAAATTACATTACCTTCATTCCTCCAGAAGTTATCAAACCACAATTTCTCTTATGCCAGAGGTCAAGAACAAAAGCACGCGTACCCCTTCTAGTAATATCTTCACAATATCACCACTTTGTCCCATAGAGATTGCTATCTAGGCTGAGCTGTGTACCATAAAGATCCTTCAGTCTGTCCGCTTCTTTACACAGATGGTAGGATGCCTCTGGGGCTGCAAAGGGAGTCTGTGGAGAAACGAGGTAATAGACTCAGAGTAACGCACAAAGGAGACTTCATCCCTTATCGATGGCAGCGCAGACTCCGAGCAGGATGACTGAACTCTGAGCTGAATAGTTTCAACCGACAAAAGGGGCTTTTTATCTCTGTTAGTGATCCAGGTATTGAAGGTGAAACGATGAACTGTTGCATTAATGTGCTTTTTCAAGAGCATTCAAAAGAGAGCAATGTTTGGACCCACCTTTTCAATGGCATATTAGAGCTAAAGGAAAACAAATGATACACTAACACCTGAATATATGCAGTAAACAAAACAATATGTATGCTTTTTCCGACACATAAACATGTATTTATACATAAACAGTGTGCGGTGACAATGTGTGGCCCTCACACATACCTCAGACCATGCGTACGCATATATTTAGAGCCAGTCAAGCCTTTGACATCATTTAATATTATACAACATACATGCAGCAAATCACTTCATCAGAACCTCTGCGTGACTCAACAAAAGTGATGAATATGCATTTGTCTTTTGTATGTCTCGCTGGAATGTGTTTGATCAGCTCCCTGAAGACGGAGCATCTGTTCAGTGCAGCAGTTGCCATTATTGTGTTATTAATGTAGCAAAATCTTGTTAACAACACATGCCTCCTCCCACTGTAAGCACTGAATGATAGCTTCCACTGTAAAGCTGCCGTTGCTGGGAAGGTAGGAAACCTGCTTATAAATTAGCTGTCCAGTTAAAAAAACACATTACTGTCACATCGGTATAGAATAAATGCTGCTGCAGAATGTTCCCAGGCTGGTGAAGTAGTTTCTGAAGTAATGTGCTCCATTTTTCATATGGCAATCAAAGAAATCCAAGTGCACGGGTTCTCCCTGTTTCCCTTCCATAAGAATGGCATCTTGGCTGTCATCCTTCCACTGAGAGCATTCCGGATGAGCCTTCAGTAAACATTTATGAAGGGCCAGATGCATCTCTCAGATCCTGTGTCAGGACTTTTTTTCTTATATTTATCCTTATTATTTTTCAGATACTGTTCATCGCTGGAAGAAATGCACAATACTGTATGTTTAATAAAGCAATTCAAGTTATGAATAAACATGGGCTGCCTTTTGTTTTGAAGAAAGATGATTTCAAAGCATTCATTGAAGGTTTATTAGAAATTAGATTTAATTTCTGTTCACTGAAAATTATGGGCCTGCTGTTTGGGATATTGCTGGGTATTTAAAAAATTTGCAATAAGAGTAATGGGAATTAAAATCTGCAGCTGTTATCTTTAAGTAAAACTCTTCAATGCTCATCATTGAAGAGGTACCTGG